TGTAGAGTTCTATAGATATCTATTAGGTCCATCTGTTCTAGTGTGTTGTTCAGTGCCTCTGTGTCCTTACTTATTTTCTGTCTGGTGGATCTGTCCTTTGGAGTGAGTGGTGTGTTGAAGTCTCCTAAAATGAATGCATTGCATTCTATTTCTTTCTTTAGTTCTGTTAGTATTTGTTTCACATATGCTGGTGCTCCTGTGTAGGGTGCATATATATTTTTAATGGTTATATCCTCTTGTTGGACTGCCTCCTTTATCATTATGTGATGTCCTTCTTTATCTCTTGTTACTTTCTTTGTTTTGAAGTCTATTTTGTCTGATACAAGTACTGCAACACCTGCTTTTTCTCCCTATTGTTTGCATGAAATATCTTTTTCCATCCCTTGACTTTTAGTCTGTGTATGTCTTTGGGTTTGAAGTCTCTTGTAAGCAGCATATAGATGGGTCTTGCTTTTTTATCCATTCTATTACTCTGTGTCTTTTGATTGGTGCATTCAGTCCATTTACATTTAGGGTGATTATCAATAGATACGTAGTTTTTGCCATTGCAGGCTTTGAACTCGTGGACACCAAAGGTTCAAGGGCCAGTTTTTTTACTGTGTAAATGTCTAACTTAACTCACTTATTAGGCTATTATAAACACAGTCTGATGATTCTTTATTTCTCTCCCTTCCTTTTCTTCCTTCTCTGCTCTTTATGTGTTAGGTGTTTTATTCTGGACTCTGTGTTTCCCTTGACTGATTTTGTGGATAGCTGATTTTATTTTACATTAAAGTAGTATTTGGTTGTGCTACTTTCTTTGCTGTGGTTTTGTTTTCTCTGGTGACATCTTTTTAGCCTTACGAGGACTTCCATCTTGAGCTGTCCCTTTAAAATACACTGTGGAGATGGTTTGGGTTTCTGGGAGTTAAATTCACTCAACTTTTCCTTATCTGGGAACTGTTTAATCCCTCATTCAAATTTAAATGACAATCTTGCTGGATACAGCATTCTTGGTTCAAGGCCCTTCTGTTTCATTGCATTGAGTATATCATGCCATTCCCTTCTGGCCTGTAAAGTTTCTGCTTAGAAGTCTGATCATATCCTGATGGGTTTTCCTTTGTAGGTGATGTTTTTTCTCTCTCTGGCTGCTTTTAATACTCTGTCAAGAAGTCTATTTTAATTTAAAAATTCCTCAAATTCCAGTGACAGTAAACCTTTTAATAAGTTTTGAAACTTTTTATTTGGACCAATTTTTCATTACTATTATTCCTATTCAGTTGATTAAACAATGTAAATATGTATGTATAGTTAAGAACATTAGGAAGCATAAAAAGTACAGTTCTTTTAGATTCACATTTCTTTATGAGATAGAGGGAACTTTTTCCTCCCTTCCTATTCATTTGTATATGTTTGGATGTCTGCTACTTTTTGTAAGTCAGAATTCAACATTGATTTTTATTAATGTTCTGTTTTTTGGGCCTTTGTTTTCATGTTGTGGTCAAGAAACTTGTTCACAAAAACACGTATCTGGGAATCAAAAGAATTGTCTGTACTTTCTCTAGGTTATAAGCTGAAACTTAAAGTGAGTTATTCAAATCATTTCAAAAGTCTTTTTATAATTTGACAGCCTATTTTCGGTCTGTGTGCATTTTCATTGTCCACCAAGTATAAGAACCCACTTCAAAGTTTTGTTACCCAGGTTTTGGATCAGAAACTTTCTGAACAGTTTGACACGTTTGTTTTCAGTTGTACCTTTGCTGTCTTACTGAGAGAGAGAGAGAGAGAGAAAGAGAGTGAGAGAGTACACATGAAGATTGAGGATCTGGGGATTTATTTCCTTAAAAGCATTCACATATTAATGCACCCCTTAGTACATGGAAGGACTTCAAATATTACTAGGGGGCAATTACTTCCTCTGGAAGAGTTTAAAAGCTTCAGAATTAGAGTAACCAGCCATCTCAGAACATGGTCCTTAGACTTGAGGGATCCCATAGAAATCACTGAATGTTAGAATTTTAAATTTTTAAATATTTAAAATGATCTGTTTATATATAAATGATAGTAATTTATTTCCTAATGATGTTCATTTTATTATCTTAAATAATCCTAGTAATGACCTTCACAGATCGATGACATTACCAAAATTTCTAAATTACTGAGATTATGTGATTCGTTAGGAATTGATACCATGTTTCTGTTTATAAATTCATTGTTCTTTCTACCATATCAATTACATAATACACAGTTATATAATTAATTGTTTATTTTTTTAGAAGGACAGAAGTGTCAAAGGATATAAATAAAACAGGAGGCTTTCCTGGTCTGATATTTGAAGACTTGGGGGCTTCCAGTTCATCTATTTATATAAATCTTTGTTCTAAAATAATGTCATATCACCAAACTGACAGGTTGAAAATTATTGGCAAGTCTGTTTTTCCTAAGTGCTATACAAAAATGAATAGAAAAATGAAAAAGCTATGACTTGAGTTATTATTCTTTTCCTATGTAAGTTTGGGAGGGATTCTTGGTATTTTTCTTTCTAGTTTTATTGAGAAATAATTGACTTTCATCACTATATACATTTAAAATATACAGCATAATGGTTTGATTTACATATATTTTGATATAATTACCATAAGAGTTTCAGCTAATACCCATCATCTCCTGCAGATATAATAAAAAGAAAGAAGAAAAAAATTTTTCCTTGTAATAAGAAGCGTTAGGATTTACTCTCTTAACAATTTTACTATGTGTCATACAGCAGTGTTAACTGTACTCATCCTGTTGTACTTTTTATCTCTAGTACTTATTAATCTTAAAACTGGAAGTATGTACCTTTTGACCTCCTTCCCCTAATTCTAGTCCCCCCATCCTCTGTCTCTGATATCCACAAGTCTAATCTCTTTTTTTGTGAATTTTTTAAAAATTTCAACAATTCCACATATAATAAGTAAGATCATATAGTATTTCTCTTACCCTGCCTTACTTCACTTAGCATAATGCCAGCAAGGTCCATCCATGTTGTCACAAATAGTAGGATTTTTTATGGCTGAAAATATTCCTCTGTGTGTGTGTGTGTCTTTGACGACAGCTTTATCTGTTAATCTATTGCTGTACACTTTGGTTGTTTCCATGTTGTGGCTATTGTAAGAGAGTGCTTCCATCTTTGTTTCTTAGTCACTGGTATTAAACACTTGTGTATCCTTCTTAAACTATGAATTGTTGTAAAGTTATACTTCATTTTCGGATATCCTGGCAAATCAAGTAATGATAACATCTTTCCTAACAGCACTCAAACCCAGGGCATGCTGGACCCTTTCCTGTTGTGTCTGTGCACAACACCACAATCAATCCAACCAGCCCTACCACAGCTACTATGGCAAATGCAAATCGAGGTCCCACCAGCCCATCTGTTACAGCAATAGAGCTAATCCCCTCAGTTACCAATCCGGAAAACCTTCCATCGCTGCCAGATATTCCACCCATACAGGTATGTATTTAATTTGAATGAGAGATTTCAAACCTCATGTTAATGAGAGAGTTAAGAGTATATATATTTTTGTTTTAAAATTTTTAATTCAGGAACTTTTTTTTTTTTGAAATTTCTGGAGTAGAGTATAAATAATTGAATTTTACAAAGTTGTGTTTGTTAAACTGGCATCCCTCAACATTTTAAAGTTATAGGATGAGTCAGCTGCAAACCTTGTTTTAGATCAAGCATTCCTGGTATGAGTTTAGATTCAGAGACAAGACCCAGCACTAAATGTGGTCATATTTTTGTCAGCCTTGTTATGGCCACAGGGATAGTCAACCCCTTGTGCAAATAAGTTGGCCTGAGAAGGGAAGAGGAGGAAAGTCTAGGTATCAGGCAACTTGAGAGGTTGACACTGAGAGAGGAAGTAACGAGGAAGAGTAGAAGATGGAACATGAAGGGCCTCTGAGGCATCCTGTCCCTTTCACTGTAACATTTTCCTGAAAAATAAATATCCCTTGCCTTCTGAAATTTGATGAATTCATTTGAATTGAAAGCATTTCATTTTAAAATGTAAGTGTAACCTCTGAAGGTTATACTGAGTTATCTCCTCATGCATTTTATGAGTTACAGTCAAGGGTTACTAAAGGAGCAGCGAAACTACTAAAGATTACTATGGCTCTTGACTCTCTCTATGGTTGTAGTTTAATATTTTTATGTAATTAATGGATTTATAAGAGTTCTAAAGGATATTTCTATACCTTCAAAATTCTGTCAAAATCACCAATTCATTGTGAATTCTTTTAATATGGTCATTTCCCTGAAATTAGGAGAGATTGTTTTTGGCTAAGTGAATGGTAGTTATGTTGGAGCTGAGAGGATTGGACAATAGAGAATAGAAAAATTTGTTTAATATATCTATAAAAAACAAAATTTATGAGTTATAAGCTTAATAATTCACAAAGCACTTTCACAGGAAATGTATCAATTTAATGCTTGAAATCATGTCATAATATGTAATATCCCTATTTTGTTGATGGGAGTAAGACAGGCTAGTGACTTTCTTAGTCACCTAGTACTTGGAAAAGTAGGAATTTAAAGACCAGATTCATGATTAGACGCTTAGTTGTCTACCCACTATCTGTAGAAGTAGCAGAGATAGTGTGGGATTGTAAACCTGAAAAGGCATAGTATTGACAGGCTTTGGGAAACCAGAGAGAGCTATATGTACAGTGCTGAAGGAGTCATTAATTTTTTACTAAGCACTTCATGTATACCAAAGGCCTGGGCATGAGGATAAAAAGATAAACAGGACTTGGTTCCACTTCTTAAGAAACTTTTAAAAGAAGAAGGAAGGTTGCTAAAGCAAACTTAAGGTAATTTGCTAAGGCTCTTCTGACCTTGGCTCAGTTCTTTTTCACAGAGGTTAGATGGAAGTATAGATGCTCCACATCTTTGAAAAGCTGGGCATCATAAAGGAAATGGGCCCATATTATACTTTCCCTTTGATCTTGCCTAGAAGTTTGAGATGAAGACAAGAAACTCTGGAATGTGTCCCCTGCCATCTTTCATTTTTTTAAAGTGGAGGGTAGCAAGTAGCAGAATCCATGCCTTGTCCTATGACCCTTCTTATCCCTTTACTCACAGATATGCTGTCTCACCTTATTTTTATTTACTGATTTATTATATACTTTTAAAAAGTGAGATAATTCACGTACTATAAAATCCAACTTCTAAAATGTGCCATTCAGTAGTTTTTAATATATTCACAAGATTGTGCAACCATCACCACTATTCCAGATCATTTTCATCACTCCAAAGAAACCGTATACCCGTTAGCAGTCACTCTCCATTTCCCTGTCTCCCAACCCCTGGAAACCACTAATTTACTTTTTGTTTCTATGGGTTTGCCTACTCTGGATTTTTTATATGAACTGAATTATATACAGTATGTGGCCTTCTGTGTCTGGCTTCTTCCCATTAGCATTATGTTTTCTAACTCCATGTTGTAGCATGTATCAGTACCTAATTCTTTTTAATAGCTGGATATTCCATGATAATAATACACAATATTTGTTCATCCATGCATTAGTTGATGAGTGTTTGGGTATCCCTTTATTAGCATGTGAGGAATAATGCTATGAAAATTTGTGTACAACCGTTTGTATGAACATTGGTTATCAGTTCTCTCTGGTAAATTTTAGGGTCATATATTGTATGTTTTAAGTTTTTGAGGAACTGCCAAACTCCTGTTTTTTACAGTGGCTGTGCCATTTTACATTCCCACCAGCGCTGTGAGGATTTCAGTTTCTCCACATTATTGCCAACACTTGTTACTGTCACCTATTTTTTTAGATGCTCAATATTTATTATTTATTTATTTTAATTTTGCTATTATTAATGTACAATTACATGAGCAATATTATGGTTACTAGACTCCCCCTATTATCAAGTTACTGTCACCTATTTTTAAAAACAGTTTGAGATAGTTAACCATAAAAGCACAAGCACAGTAAGAAATAGTTAATCATACGAACCAGAAATAGCGAAGCAAACCTATCATCTCTTGAAAGAATCACCTACTTTTTCTCCTATTGTTAGTTTCTGTGGGTTAGTTGACCAAGCACAGCATGGGTTTGAACTGCATGGGTCCACTTGTACATAGATTTTTTTTCAATAATATATTGGAACATTTTTTTGGGGGGATTTGTAACAATTTGAAAAAAAAATTTCTTTTCCCTAGGTTGCTTTATTGTAATTAATACAGTATATAATACAGATACAAAATGTGTTTTTGTGTTAATTGACTATATATGTTATCTGCAAGGAATCCAGTCAACAGTAAGCTATTAGTAGTGAAGTTTTTGGGGAGTCAAAAGTTATATGTAGGTTTTTGACTGCATGTGAGGTGCCCCCAACACCTTGAACAATTATCCAAGAATCAGCTGCATAGTGAAAAAACACCCAGGAAAGGTGGCTACACAGGAAATACAGACATGTAGTACTAACTATGTAATGAAAACAGAAAATAAATACAAAGGCAATTTTGGATATTTGTTGGTATATCTTAATATTTTTTCATTATAGAATAGAAGATGATTTAAATAGAATTCTCTTAATTCAAATTTTTTTGTTTTCTTCTACTGTCTATCTCCAGCAGAGCAAGAGTTCATGTTTGTAATTTTGACCTTGAAGTGCCGGGGTTGCAGGGAGGAGATTATGTGTTGCACCTGAATACTTTTTGAATAGATAAATGAATATTAGATTCTGTTTAGATGGGATTATAATTAATATAGATGTAGTGGATTATTAATATAGATTAGTGATTTATTTTGTTGAATTCTTTGTAAACAATTCTACATATTTAGCATACTTAATAACTATCTGGATACTGTATGGGATGTTATGAAGTCTTGGGGAAACTGTGTTTCTGATACTCACATGTAAATTTAGATGATATACCCGCTGTAGTGGCACCAGGAAAGCCCTTTTATATACTTCTGACTTGCCTCTTCCTAATTGGTCCAACTCTTCAGGGTTGTCTGTCTGACCACAGATACAAATTGCAGGCCGGAAGAGTGTAAAAGGAGTGAGAGTGGAGTAGGTAACATGGGACTTCAGTGTCTGTTTTCAGTCATCCCCTCCTCGTCTGTGTTTAGGTGAGGTGTATAGCTCAGCTTGAATCTGTGGTCCATTTTTGGAGCTCCCCCTCTTCACACTCCCTCTGGTTGACTTCAGTTATAGCTAGGGATTCTCCTGGTTAACAGCTTAGAACTGAATCCTTGGGTAACAGCTGTGGCTGCCAGGCAGGTACAACTGCTGATAACCCTTACTTGTCTCTTCATAGAGCCCATAGCTTACTCTCACCTTCAGCCCTTTATGTTTGTGACATGAGGTTTATTAAGGACTCTACTGCAGAAGACCTTTAATGAGAAAGGCCTATTTTTAGGATGGTCCTCTCTTGTCTGTAATAAATGTTATGAGCTGCTTTATTCTGATTATTTTTCTGTCCATCCAGTTCTACCTTGGTTTATATCTGTAGTTTCCTCCAAAGTTTCCACTTAGATGCCATCCTTTCCTATTTTATAACCATGAAAATCAGTAGGATTTTGAGAGGGAAAGGAGAGCAAGAAATAAATGTATGTGTTCAGATTTCTGTCTTAAATGAGAAGATTTGCATAAAAAGCAATCTCATCTCTAGCAGAAGAGGATATCAAAAGGGACAGGTGTGGGTACAAGTAGACCAGTAAGCAAGATTAGCAGTTCTTTAAGAATAATTTGACCATCTCTTATATGGAATAATGTAAAATTTTACTTAAAGTAATTTTCATAATTAAATAGTATTTGTACACTATTTTTTACATAAATATTCACCCGTTTCATCATTGCAGTTCTTCAGTGTAGGTAGGATGTTTCAAAGATAGGAAACAGATGTTCAAGTTGGGAACCAGCCTCAAGTCACAGTGCCCCCTTACTGCCTATAAGTGAGAAAATAGCTCAATTTTTCTGTTGATTGAACCTTTTTATGTGTGTAATTAGAGGTCTTAAATCTTAGGCTAAGGGTTTTCTATTGACTATAATAACTTTTCAGAGCTTTCAAGTTCGGTCCTGATGATTAAATTTCTGTTCAGGTGAATTATTCTGGCAGGACTGTGGATGTTGAAATAAAGGGAGGGAGGTGAATGGTGCTGCTGTGAACATGAGTGCACATGTATTTGTTCAAATACCTATTTTCAGTTCTTTTGGGTGTGTACCTGGGAGTGGAATTGCTGGGTCATATGATAATTCTGTGTTTACTGTTTTGAGGAACTGCAAAACTGCTTTACAGCAGCTGAACAGTTTTATATTCCCACAAGCAATGTATAAGAATTTCAATTTCTCCATGTCCTCACCAACACTTGTTACTGTCTGTCTTTGATTATAAATATCTTAGTGGGTGTGAGGTGGTATCTTACTGTGATTTGATGTACATTTCCCTGATGACTGATGGTGTTGGGCATCTTTTCATATGCTTGTTGACCATTTGTATGTCTCCTTTGGGGAAGTGCCTTTTCAGGTTTTTTGCTTGTTTTTAAAATTGCATTATATATCTTTTTATTGCTGAGTTTTTAGAGTTCTTTACATATATGTATGGATGCTGGACAGAGTAGAATATATGGAATGATGGGTTTAGAGCTGAGAGGCATTACCTTCATATACATAATTTGCATGTTTTCTCCCAGTCTCTGGGTTGTCTTCACTTGCTTGACAGTGTCCTTTGAAATAGAAAAATTATAAATTAAAAATAAAAAGGGGAGGGAGACTAGAGACAAGGATGTTGATAAATAGGATGGGTGTCAACTTTGAGACACAAAAGTTAGAGTTTGCCAGAGCTATTTTCATATTAGAATGTAGAATTTAGTGGATTATTGGGTTTTGTCTTGAGATGCCACGTATTTGTTGAGTAATATTAATTATAGTTCCATTCACATGAACTTTATATTGTGTGGGTCCTTGGGAACCTGAGGAAGCAAGAATTAAGCCAAATTTGATACTGGATAATTGTTTATTAGTAAACTTTGAGCATAATTGATTATACTAATGGAATTAGTAACTTCTCTGCTTTAGTCAAAGCAAATTTATCTTTTTGTTCTTTTTCTTCAGTTGGAAGATGCTGGTTCAAGCAGTTTAGATAATCTACTGAGTAGGTACATCTCAGGCAGTCACTTACCCCCACAGCCTACAAGCACTATGAATCCCTCCCCAGGACCCTCTGCCCTATCTCCAGGATCATCAGGTAAAACCAACTGAAGTGTACTGCCTTATTTCTTCAACATCTTAAAAAAAAGTGTCTCTCAGTGTATGTATTAGGGTTTTCCAGAAAAACAGAACCAGTGGGCAAGTTGGGGAGATTGATTGACTTTAAAGGAATTGGCTCACATGATTGTGAGAGCTGGCAAGTTCATAATCTGCAGCGCATGTTGGCAGACTAGAAACCAGGGAAGAGTTGATGCTAGTATTGAGTTTGAGGCAATTCTTTCTTCCTCTGGAGATCTCAATCTTTTCTCTTAAGGTCTTCAACCTTTTGGATCAGGCCCACTCACATTATGTAGATTGGTCTGCTTTCCTCAAAACCTACTAATTTAAATGTAAAATTGTATCAGAAAACACCTTCATAACAACATCTGGACTGGTGTTTGGCCAAACAGCTTGGTTCTATATTCTAGCCAAGTTAACATAAAATTAACCATCACAGTAATAGATTGTACATTTTTCATGAGTGCTGCTTCTAATTATTTTTCTTCAAACACTGTTGGCAATTTTCAGCTAACTGAAATAATACTAATATATATCTGTAGTGTACTATGTTCAGGACTTTAATAAACCCTTCCCCAACCTCCAGCTATAGTTTCATTCTTTGCTGGATTTATAGATGTATTTATTTCCCATTTCTTAGTATTTTGTGATACAGGTAGTTGAAAATTTCTTTGATTTTAATCCAACTTTAAAACTTCTAATGAAAAATTGAAGTTTTAAAAAAATTTAAAAAACAAGAGTTGAGGAAAGATAAGTGAATTTTTGCATTGCAGTTTTAAAACAAAAACTGAAATTTACTGGAAACACTAAAATGTGACTAACAGGTCCTTGACACAGATCTCTTCCAAAATCCCAGTTTTTTTATTGACTCTTCTTACGTGAATGAATGATTAAAACAACTACAAACAGATTGACAGTGCAGAGGTTGTTACTGAATGTATTTTTCTGGTATAAATCAAATGTTCTTTCTTACCAAAACCACCTTATCAATTATAGAGTAAAACAGTTCAAATTTAAATAGAGGTTTTGCATGAGATGCATCATTAATACATTTTTTTGAGTCCTAAAAAATTTGAGGTTTAATATCATTATTCCAGGACTTCTAAAAGAAAGAATAATTAGGAATCTAAGTAGAATATTTACCAGATGGCTTAGGGCAGGATGACAGCTTTCTTTTGATCTGGTAGTTTTTATTGATTGGATAGTGTTGCACTGAGAAGAATTCTCAGAATGATGCCTGGGCTTAGCTGAGAGAAACTGGTTGATGTCTGCCTACAGTTAACACACACACACCATCCCTAACATTGAGGTGGAGACTTGGTCTGATTTCCAAGAATCGCTAAATTACATCTTGAATTCTGAAACTAGTAGGTAGAATTCTGAATATTCTTACCTGCATTGATACTCATTTTGACCTGTTATTTTTCAGGTTTATCCAATTCTCACACACCTGTAAGACCCCCTAGTACCTCTAGTACTGGCAGTCGAGGCAGGTGAGTATTACATTATTAATAGGTATTTTTTCTACTTAGCAAGAAAAATTTCAAATATGTATTTAAAATAGATTATTACAGTGAACTCCCTTACACTTATCACCCAGACCCAACAGTTATCAAGTTAGAGCCAGTTTATTTCTTCTATACTCCCACCCATTCATTCCCCTTGTCTGGATTATTTTTAAATCTTAAACATCATTTCACTTGCAACTATTTCAGTCTGTATCACTTAAAGATAAGGATTTAAAATATTTAAAATCACAGAACCACTATCACACCTAAGAAAAATTTAACATCTAATTCTTTAACATCAGTCGAGATCCAGTTAATGTTTAGATTTCCCAATTTTTTCCATTTATGCCTTTTAAAAAATGGTTTATTTGAATAAGACTCAAGTTCTGTATACATTGCCATCAAAAGACAGATTAAGGTCAACATCAATTTATTTGTTGAAGAAATACATCGTTTCTACTACTTTCCCCATCATGTCATTAAATACACTGCCTAGTATGTTTTCCTCTGTATTGGTATTTAGATCAGGAGGTTTGATCAGTTTGATTTGGGGGAGTGGGGAAGAATACTTTATTGAAGGTGATGTGTAACTTTCATCAGGGGCACATGATGTTTGTTCATTTGTTTTTTTCTGACAGCAACCATTAATGATCATTGCATACCACTTTTTTATTAAACTGGTTGAGAAGTGATATTTTATTTGTGTTATTATTTCATTTATTAGTTTAGAATATAAAGAAAAACTTGTCATCAACTCTTTGGTTATAGGAAGGGCAGAATGAATTGATTCTCTTGTTTTTACCCGTTTTCTATCTTTCTTTCTTTCTTTTTTTTTTTTAATGGAGAAGAAAACTGAAGCTTAATTACTTATGTACAGGGAAGCCATAGACATGGGTTCCCTACCTGTTTTCTTAATAATGAGTTGATTCCCAGTACGCTCCAATAGTGCCCAATGAGTTTTATTGTTATCTTTATTTGTGTATTCATATACTTAAGTATTTAAATTCATATTTAAATATATTGTATATGTTCTAAACCAGTATAGATATTCTTTTTATTGGTCCTTAAATTGTTCCACCTATGGCCTGTCAGTGCTTTTCCGAGTTGGTTCTGTATCTTTTTGCTGTAACCCCAGTAGTCTTTGAAAGCTTCCTTGTTTCCTGTTATGAAATGATATTCCAGGTTTGTCTTCTACATTTTCTGCCTCAGGTCTGGAATCAGCCATTTCTCTTAAGAAATCCTTGTCAAGTTAGTGGGGAAATGGTGCTTGGAGACAATCTTCTGGGTATAGGGGCATTCATTGCTACTGAACTGTTCATTGTTTCTTATGCCTTTTTGGTGTGCAGAGCTAAGAGTGGGGAGAGAGTATGTTGTGTTAAGATAAAGTACAATAAATGTTGGGTTTTTATTCTTCAGTTTGAATAATTTCATACAGTATAAGAAAGATTTTATTTAAGATATATGGAATTTCATTGTGTGCATGTGTTCTGAAGACTGCTCCTCTTAAATATTTACTTTTTAAATTGTAATTTAAATAAATATCAGTACTTTTAGGAGAAAAGTACAAATTGAGTGAGAAGTTCTTAGCAATGGTCTTACCAGTTATTATCTTCACTTCTCTTGCCAGTGGTTTTGCTTTGTGGTCTAAATAGAACCAATTACTCATGTACCTGTCCTTGCCTATCGATTTTGCTGATTCCAATGAAGAAGTTCTGGGTTGTTTGCCTCATTATCCCCTTCTCTCAATTTCCTACCCTCAAAAGCTGAAAGAGCACTTCCTTCAAGGAGGCCTCCTGAAAGCACTATTATTGATGTTGTGTTTTTCAGATGTTTGGGGGTAGAAAAGAATCAAAACACTTTTATAGAGAGAAGTAATCACTGGCATTCTGTACTCCTAGCCTGGGAACCTGAGTGGTTTTAGACTCCCCAAATGATTTAGTAAAAGTGTCTCACAAAATATGTTTTGAGGGTCTTCTGAAAGTTTGATCTACATGTTTAAGGAATTTGAAGCTAAGTTTATACCTCACTCCTAACTACATTTTGGGTTATCCTTATTTTCTAGAAAGCTAATAAATTATTGTTTTCACTTGAGTGAACATTAATTTTCATATAATTGTTTTTATGTACTGTACAGTCAAACATATGTGACCTTTATTTGTTATTTTTTATTAGCTGTGGCTCATCAGGAAGAACTGCTGAGAAGGCAGGTCTTAGTTTCAAGTCTGATCAAGTGAAGGTCAAGCAAGAACCTGGGACTGAAGATGAACTATGTAGCTTTTCAGGAGCTGTGAAACAAGAAAAGACAGAGGATGGCAGGAGGAGCGCCTGCATGGTGAGCCTCCACTGGGGCCTGTCAGGGATTTCAGGAGGTCACTTTACTTATTCTTCCATCTTTCAGTGACTGAATAGTGGTTCTCTGGACTTTTATTTAATTTTGAATATTTATGCCTGGTACAAGCCAAATATCTTTTTGTAACTCAAATTTTTTGTGTCAAGTGTTATCTATAATTTGTCAGAAAAGACTTCATTGTATTAAGGACTCATTTGAAATTATTGTTTAGTTTGTAATTGGTCAATATTTTTTCTGTGATTCTAAATCAGGTTCTATCTTGTTCTGAATTTATCAATCATCTCAGTAGTCACATTGAGTCTCAGGCTCAAAAGATCCTTGGCTATTTTCATGGACCTGAGAGCTCAGAATTAAGACTGTTGACATGAAAGAAGTTTAATGATCAGAGAGTTTTGTGATAGAGGAGAATGGCTTATGAATTATTAGCCAGTTTAATGTTCCTTAGGTGGAACATTTAATAAAAGCCCAAGTCCCCTTTGTTGAGAAATTTTGATTTTGTTTTTTTCTTCCTGCCCAGGCTTATGTCTCATTTTCTGCGTGGTTGGCACATAGAAATGTCAAATTTAAGGGTATTAGTATATTCAATGAAGTGTATGTAGATGTAGAGAGTGAAATTTAGCTGTCAAACACTAGCTTTAGCCTGGGGTTTGAAACAGTGTTACTGCTGTCTTTATCTAGAACTTGGTTTAGAAAGTAACCCCGAAAAACTAAGTGCAAAAGGGCAGTTAAGATTTTCTTTTATGTTGTTAATATTTTCCTACAGTAGTAGAATGATATGTCAGCAGAACAGTATTTCAGAATGCTTCTCAAAAGCTGTGCAACAGATTCTTGAGTGAAAAATAAGGTACTATAGTCAGTTCTCTGTAGGGAAACCCTGTGCTCACTTCCCAGTCATTGTGTTTAATGGTTTAATTGATTTCCTTATTATCCAAATGAACCAGTATTAAACAGACTACTCCCTAAAGTCATAAAATAATAAAATAATATACCTACTTAATTTGGGTCTGTTTTCATTCCTTTATGTCACTAATGTGATTTCCAAAATAATCTTTAATTATGTCAGTATATTGGTATACATGTTGACATAACTTTTAAATACACACACACAGCATACCGTAAGGATTAAGTGATTCTTCAAGATATTGTCCTTGTTTTGTTCCAGTTGAGCAGTCCTGAGAGTAGCTTGACACCACCTCTCTCAACCAACCTACATTTAGAGAGTGAGTTGGATGCATTAGCAAGCCTGGAAAACCATGTGAAAACTGAACCTACAGATACGAATGAAAGCTGCAAACAGTCAGGGCTCAGCAGCCTTGTTAATGGAAAGTCCCCGGTTCGAAGCCTCATCCACAGGCCAGCAAGGATTGGGGGAGATGGCAGCAGCAAAGATGATGACCCAAATGAAGACTGGTGTGCTGTCTGCCAAAATGGAGGGGATCTCTTGTGCTGTGAAAAATGTCCAAAGGTCTTTCATCTAACTTGTCATGTTCCAACTCTTCTCAGCTTTCCAAGGTACCAGTGAAATAATTGATAATTTTTTTATTTTTGTAAACATATAACTTTCTGGGTTTTTTTTTTTCATCAGATGGCCTTTGTAATCAATGCACAGTATTTCAATTAAATGGAGAATATTACTCCTTTGCTATTATTACCTTCTAGAGAAACTAACAACTGAATGGTAAAATGTCCAAGATCCAAGTTGTTCATTTGTGATAAAAATTTGCCTATTTTCTGGCTTCAGTTTATACTTAGTATAATAAAATCATATAAAACTATATTAAAGAATATGGGATGTTGGAGAGTTAGTTGATTGCCTCTTGAAGCTGAATTTTTTTTATCTGTTACCATCAATCTTAGTAGGGTTCTACAATAATGATCTTATTTATGAATACTATTAAGTTTGAAGCTTCTTTTATTAAGTCTTACACAAAACCTACTTTTATAATGTTTGGAAGCTCTGAAAAAGTATTTAAAAAGAAAACAAGTACTTTGTGAAAAAGCCTTCAGGATCTTGAATTTTTTTATTAGCTTCCTCTTGACCACTGGAAGCAGTTAATTAGTAGTGCCACGCTGAAGCACTGCGTGCAAATTTCTCAGACTTTACGTTCAGTCATCTAGTTGGAATGTCTTTCAGTCATTAACTTCGGAACGAGCAGTTACTGGATTCCTTATTTAGGAGAGAAGAACCTCGGGTAAAGGTAAATATAGAAAGATCAGGGGAAAATAGGAGCATTGTTCTCCTGCTGTTTGACCCCATGGCAGCTAAACCTGGTTTCAAGCATGCAAATATTCATTTGCACCAGGGAAAGCTGATGATACCAGCTTAGTGCAGTGGAACAAATGTGCTGGGATGGGCTTGGTTATAAAACCTGTAATCTGGTTGTAATCTGTAGTGAACTAGCTTAATGAGCTTGGGCAGTTCACTAATTTTCAGGGATTAGATTCTAAACCTAACGTGGTAGAGTTGAATTAAAAGAGCTTTTCTCATCCACTTAACATTTTATGTTCTTGCAATGTTGTTTCCAGTTGATTTCAGAGACCGTAAAGTCATATTTCTCTCTCTTGGCCTCCTGCTTTCCAACCCTTACTCCCAAATTTCTGTTTAAGTGAAAGTAAAATGTTTTTGGGAAACCCAACTTCTTTTAAAAAATTCACATTTCCTGTCAGATTCCTGAGAAGTAATGATTATAATTCAATAATGCTGCCCTTTGTGAAAAATAATACCTTTTTGTATTAGAAATGTTATAGATATATAAACAGTGAGAGAATATTTTTCTGAAGAATTGTAATTCTTACCTAAGTCTTAGGAGGTATAGTCATTTGCCAGGGATGTAAAGTCATTTGCCTTTTTTTTCTTTATAATCTTTTAGAAAAGAAAAGCATTGGCAGTTTGATCTTAAAATTAAGGCTTTTCATATTTTTCTTTCCTTTGGATAGTAGCATCTGCTGGAATGTTAGAATTTTGCTACTGAATGCTTTTTCTCAAAGGCAGATGCTTTTGGAAAGAAAACTCTAGATGCTTATGTTGACAGCTTATGACACAAATTCCTAGACTTAGAATTTCTTTATATATGATGGGGGATGGAGAGGTAGAATGAAAAGAAGGAGTCATTCTGGACTTTAAGGTTTGATAGAAATCTGATGTAAACAAACTGTAGAATGTACAGACTTACAAGGGTATATGTGCGTGTTCTTGCACTTAACAAAGGTATGTTTGTATTCTAGGCTTTTGACTGGCCATGAAAAAGAATTTTATTTTTGGCATGTTTAACATATGCCCAAATAGTACAAGATACCCAGGGAACTCCATATTCTGTACTCTTTTCTTATTCATGAATATTGTGATAGTATTATTAGAGTCTGAGGATTTGTCTTACGCTACAAGTACTGATCATCAACTTTGTGCAATGAAGAGACCCTTTTTGAATGCTGAGAAATCAGTTTTATAAAGCTTTCCAGAAGGTTGTCAGTTAAGAATGACTGGAAAAAGCTTTGGGATGTCTTTAGCACACAACTTCACATTATGAGATTTGATGAGAATAGAGCCTCTCTTCTCCCCAAAAACTGGAAGAAAAAGAAAATTAACTGGAGACTTTCCTCTAAGGGAACTATTTCTTTCTATAGTGTGGGTTTCATTATAATTGCATGGTCTAATTGCCTATTTCCCTCTTTAGTGGGGACTGGATATGTACATTTTGCAGAGATATTGGGAAACCAGAAGTTGAATATGATTGTGATAATTTGCAACATAGTAAGAAGGGGAAAACTGCACAAGGGTTAAGCCCCATGGACCAAAGGGTAAGTATTAGATAAATTTATTTACTAATAGGGACTCTGTAGTTGTTTGGCTATATATCTTTTTTGTTCAGTATAATATACATGTAATTTGATAAATTTCATTCTTTCATCTTATTATCTGATGGTTCATTGATGACTTCTGAAATCTTTATCTCTAATCCTCAGCTCCAGACTCTAATATCAGCTTCCTTATAGTCAACAGGCTGTAACCAAAATCTTGATTTCTAATCCTCTCTTCTTCAAAAAGCAACAAATAAGCAAATAACTGAAAAATTGCATTCCTCTCCTAGATTTCCCATAATTAAATGGTACTGCCATTCATCTTTTGCTCAAGCCAGAAATCTATCTGAAATAACAGAATGAGGAGTGATCATAATTCTGTTTTCTTACTCCTCCCCCTTCCCCATTACTTTTTTTATTAATATTTTTTATTAAGGTATTATGGATGTACACTCTTATGAAGGTTCCACATGAAAAAACAATGTGGTTACTACATTCGCCCATATTATCAAGTCCCTCCCATACCCCATTGAAATCTCTGTCCATCAGTGTAGTGTAAGATGCCACAGAGTCACTACTTGTCTTCTCTGTGCTACTCTGTCTTCCCTGTGACCCCACACACACCGTGTGTACCAATCATAATACCCCTCAATCCCCTTCTCCCTCCCTCCCCACCTGCCCTTCCCCACCTCTCCCCTTTAGTAACTGCTGGTCCCTTCTTGGAGTCGGTGAGTCTGCGAGTCTGCTGCTGTTTTGTTCCTTCAGTTTTGCTTTGTTGTTATACTCCACTAATGAGTGAAATCATTTGGTACTTGTCTCTGTCTGCCTGGCATATTTCACCGAGCATAATATCCTCCAGCTCCATCCATGTTGCTGCAAATGGTAGTATTTCTTTCTTTCTTACGGCTGAATAGTATTCTATTGTGTATATGTACCACATCTTCTTTATCCATTCATCTACTGATGGACACTTAGGTTGCTTCCATATCTTGGCTATTGTAAATAGTGCTGCAGTAAACATAGGGGTGAATATGTCCTTTTGAATCTGAGAACTTGTACTCTTTTGGTAAATTCCTAGGAGTAGAATTTTGGGTCAACTTAGTTTTTGAGGAGCTTGGGTATTGCTTTCCACAATGGGTGAAATAGCTTACATACCCACCAGCAGTGTTAGAAGGGTTCCTCTTTCTTTGTATACTTGCCAGCATTTGTTGTTGTTTTAGTCTTTTCGATACTGGCCATCCTAATTGGTGTGAGGTGATGTTTCATTGTGGTTTTTATTTGCATTTCCCTGATAATTAGTAATGTGGAACATCTTTTCATGTGCCTGTTGGCCATCTGAATTTCTTCTTTGGAGAATTGTCTCTTCATATCCTCTGCCCATTTTTTATTCGGGTTATTTGATTTTTGGTTGTTGAGGTGTGTGAGGTCTTTACGTATTTTGGATGTTAACCCCTTGTTGGATACGTCATTTACAAGTATATTCTCCCATACTGTATGATGCTTTTTGTTCTGTTGATGGTGCCCTTTGCTGTACAGAAGCTTTTTAGTTTGATGTACTCCCATGTGTTCATTTTTTATTTATTTTTTCCTTCCTGAGGAGATTGATTCAGGAAAAAGTTGCTCATGTTTATATTCATAGGAGATTTTTGCCTATGTTGTCTTCTAAGAGTTCGTTTGTTTGTTTGTTTGTTTGTTTTGGTATCATTAATCTATAATTATATGAGAAACATTATGTTTACTAGACTCCCCCCATCACCAAGTCTCCCCCACCCCCACAAACCCCATTACAGTGACTGTCCATCAGCGTAGTAAGATGCTGTAGAATCACTATTTGTCTTCTCTGTGTTGCACAGCCCTCCCTGTGCCCCCCCCCCC